AAGTAATTGCTTGTGAGAATTACTTTAACTCTTCACACTGCTGTAGAGCTGTATAATTTACAAACCAGGGTCATATACAGTGTAGCATTTCACATGACTGACCGTAATTCCTTCTTTGGGATGGCAGGCCCATTCTGACTGCTAATATCCCCCCTTTCTACTTTCTTTTCTTCCTTCCCCCTTTCCTCCTTCCCTTTTACTTTTCTTTCCTTCTTTTCTTCCTTTCTTCCATTTTTTGCCTGCCTGTCTTCCTCCCCTCCCACCTTCCCTCTCTCCTTCCTTCCTCGTTCCTTTCCTCTTTCCTTCTCTCTTTCTGTACTTTCCTCCTTTCTTCTCTTCTTTTTTCCTTCCTTCCTGCCTCCCTTCTTTCTTCTTTCCGTCCTTCCTTCCCTTTTTTCACTCCTAACCTACTGTCCTCCTTTCTTCTTTCCCTCCCTCCCTCCCTCCCTCCCTTTATTCTTCCCTCTCTTCCTTTCTTCCTCCCTCTCTCTTCCTCTCTGTCTTCCCCCTACCTTCTTTCTTTATAACATAAATATACTTATATTACAAATGCAAGCATTTGTAATATAAAGCACAGTTTATGAGAACTGTAGTTTAAAGTACAGTGTATGAGAAATAGTACATGAATTCAGCAAAGTTTCAGGATTCAAAATTAATATATACAAATCAATAGGTCTGCTATATACCAACAGCAACCAAACTGATGATCAAATCAATAACTCAACCCCTTTTACAATAGCTGAAAAAAACATAAAATGCTTAGGAATATACCTAACCAAGGAAATAAAAGACTTCTACAAGGAAGACTACAAAACACTGCTGAAAGAAATCATAGATGACACAAACAAATGGAAACACATCCCATGCTCATGGATGGGTAGAATCAATATTGTGAAAATAACCATACTGCCAAAAGAAATCTACAAATTAAAGATAATTCCCATCAAAATACCAGCATCATTCTTCACAGAACTATAAAAAGCAATCTTAAAATTCATATGGAACCAAAAAAGAGCCCACATAGCCAAAGCAAGACTAAGCAAAAACAAATCTGGAGACATCACATTACCTGACTTCAAACTATATTACAAGGCCATAGTCACCAAAACAGCATGGCACTGGTATAAAAATAGGCAGATAGACCAATGGAACAGAATAGAGAACCCAGAAATAAAGCCAAATGCTTACAGCCAACTGATCTTTGACAAAGCAAGCAAAAACATAAAGTGGTGAATGGACACCCTGTTCAACAAGTGATACTGGAACAATTGGCAAGCCACATGTAGCAGCGAAACTGGATCCTTATTGCTCACCTTGTACAAAAATCAACTCAAGATGGATCAAAGACTTAAATCTAAGACTTGAAACAATAAAAATTCTAGAAGATGACATCAGAAAAACCCTTCTAGACATTGGTTTAGGCAAAGACTTCATGACCAAGAACCCAAAAGCAAATGCGACAAAAACAAAAGACGAGTAGAGGAAACTTAATTAAACTAAAAAGCTTCCGCACAGCAAAAGAAATATTCAGCAGAGTTAACAGACAACCCACAGAGTGGGGGAAAAATCTTCATAACCAATATGTCCGACAAAGGACTAATATCCACAATCTACTAAGAACTCAAGCAAATCAGCAAGGAAGAAACAAACAATCCCATCAAAAAGTAGGCTAAAGACATGAATAGACAATTCTCAAAAGAAGATATACAAATGACCAACAAGCATAAGGAAGAATGCTCAACATCACTAATTATCAGGGAAATGCAAATCAAAACCACAATGCAATACCACCTTACTCCTGCAAGAATGGCCATAAAAAATTTTTTTTAAAAATAGATGTTGGTGTGGATGTGGTGAAAAGAGAACACTTTTACATTGTTGGTGGGAACGTAAACTAGTACAACCACTGTGGAAAACAGTGTGGAGATTCCTTAAAGAATTAAAAGTAGGTCTACCGTTTGATCCAGCAATCCCACTACTGGATGGCTATCTACCCAGAGGAAAAGAAGTCATTATACAAAAAAGATACTTGCACATGCATGTTTGTAGCAGTAAAACTTGCAGTTGCAAAAATATGGAATCAGCCCAAATGCCTGTAAATCAATGAGTGAATAAAGAAAAAATATATATATATGTGTGTGTGTATATATATCTCTCTCACAATGTTTGATTTTCTATTCCTTAGTTACTTCTCTTAGAATAATAGTCTCCAATTCTGTCCATGTTGCTGTGAATGCCATTATTGTGTTCTTTTTTATGGAGGAGTAGTAGTCCATGGTATGTGGATATAAATAGGGCATATTTATATCCGCTTGCATTCTCCTAAATTTTTCATTCAAGCTACTTGCTGTCACTATTGCTTTAAATATATATCTCAATATCGTATATTCCTTGGTTATGTACATTTGCTAATATTGATGCCTTATAGAGGAGTGTTTTCCTTATCAGTAGAGAAATGTATAGAAATTTTCGCTTGAACCTAAGAGAGTCTAAATTTTACAACACAAGTCATAAATAAAGCTACATCTTATTATTACTATTTTTTAAATTTTATTTTAAGTTGCAGGGTACATGTGAAGGATGTGCAGGTTTGTTACATAGGTAAATGTGTGCCATGATGATTTGCTGCACCTATCAACCCATCACCTAGGTATTAAGCCCCACATGCATTAGCTCTTTATCCTGATGCTCTCCCTCCCTCACATCCATGACAGGCCCCAGTGTGTGTTGTTCCCCTCCCTGTGTCCATGTGTTCTCATTGTTCAGCTCCCACTTATAGGTGAGAACATGCAGTGTTTGGTTTTCTGTTCCTGTGTTAGTTTTCTGAGGATAATGACTTCTGGCTCCATCCATTTCCCTGCAAAGGACATGATCTCATTCCTTTTTATGGCTGCATAGTATTCCATCGTGTATATGTACCACATTTTCTTTATCCAGTCTTTTATTAATGGGCATTTGTGTTGATTCTCTGTCTTTGCTACTGTGAATAGTGCTTCAGTGAACATATGTTTGCATGTATTTTTATAATGGAATGATTTATATTCCTTTGGGTATATACCCAGTAATGAGATTGCTGGGTCAAATGGTATTTCTGGTTCTAAGTCTTTGAGGAATTGCCACACTGTGTTCCACAATGGTTGAACTAATTTACATTCCCACCAATGCATAGAAAGTGTTCCTATTTTTCCACAGCCTCACTAGCATCTGTTGATTCTTGACTTTTTAATAATCGCCATTCTGACTGGCATGAAATGGTATCTTATTGTGGTTTTGATTTGCATTTCTCTAATGATCAGTGGTGTTGAGTTTTTTTTCATATGTTTCTTGGCCCCATGGGGTTGTTTTTTCTTGTAAATTTGTTTAAGTTCCTTGTAGATTCTGGATATGAGTCCTTTGTCAGGTGAATAGATTGCAAAATTTTTCTCCCATTCTGTAGGTTGTCTGTTCAGTATGATGATAGTTTCCTTTGCTGTGCAGAAGCTCTTTAGTTTAATTAGATCCCGTTTGTCAATTTTTGCTGTTGTCACAATTGTTTTTGACATTTTCATCATGAAATCTTTGCCTGTGCCTATGCACTGAATGGTATTACCTAGATTTTCTTCTAGGGTTTTTAAAATATTTTTGGGTTTTACATTTAAGTCTTTAATCCATCTTGAGTTAACTTTTGTATAAGGTATAAGGAAGGGATCCATTTTCAATTTTCTACATATGACTAGCCAATTCTTCCAGCACCATTTATTAAATAAGGAATCCTTTACCCATTGCTTGTTTTTGTTAGGTTTGTTGAAGATCAGATGGTTGTGGATGTACAGTCTTATTTTTGAGTTTTCTGTTCTGTTCCATTAGTCTATGTGTCTGTTTTTGTATCAGTACCATGCTCTTTTGGTTACTGTAGTCTTGTAGTATAGTTTGAATTTGGGTAACATGATGCCTCCAGCTTTGTTTTTTTTTTGCTTAGGATTGTCTTGGCTATATGGGCTCTTTGTTGGCTCCATATGAATTTTAAAATAGTGTTTTTCTAATTCTGTGAAGAATGTCATTGGTAGTTTAATGGGAATAGCATGTATCTACACATTACTTTGGGCAGTATGGCCATTTTCACAATAATGATTCTTCCTGTCCATGAGCATGAGATGTTTTTCCATTTGTTTGTGTCCTGATTTCCTTGAGAAGTAGTTTGTAATCTCCTTGAAGAGGTCTTACATTTCCCCTGTTAGTTGTATTCCTATGTATTTTGTTCTCTTTGTAGCAATTGTGAATGGGAATTCACTCATGATTTGGCTCTCTGCTTGTCTGTTATTGGTGTATAGGAATGCTTGTGATTTCTGCACATTGATTTTGTGTCCTGAGACTTTGCTGAAATTGGTTATTAGCTTAAGAAGCTTTTGAGGCCAGGCGCGGTGGCTCACGCCTGTAATCCTAGCATTTTGGGAGGCTGAGGCGGGCAGATTGCTTGAGCTCAGGAGTTTGAGACCAGCCTGGGCAAGACAGTGAAACGCTGTCTCTACTAACTTACAAAAACTTAGCTGGGCGTGGCAGCATGTGCCTGTAGTCCCAGCTACTTGGGAGGCTAAGGCAGGAGAATTGTTTGAACCCAGGTGGCGGAGGTCGCAGTGAGCCAAGATTGCACCTCTGCACTCCAGCCTGAGCAACAGAACGAGACTCCATCTCCATCATGTCATCTGCAAATAGAGACAATTTGACTTCCTCTCTTCCTATTTGAATATCCTTTATTTCTTTCTCTTGTCTGATTGCCCTGGCCAGAACTTCCAATACTGTGTTGAATAGGAGTAGTGAGAGAGGACATCCTTGTCTTGTGCTGGTTTTCAAGGGGAATGCTTCCAGCTTTTGCCCATTCAGTGTTATTTTGGCTGTGAGTTTGTCATTAATGGCTGTTATTATTTTGAGGTATGTTCCTTCAATACCTAGTTTATTGACAGAAAGCTACATTTTAAATAGAATATTTATAAAAACACGGTTGATGTTCTCTGTCACCTAAGAAATTATTTAGGCTGCTCTGAAATGTACCAACTCTTATAGAAGACAATAGTCCCTGTGATAAGGCTGGGAAGAGTCCTAAGGACCATGGCCACTAGTTTCAAAAGCACCTGGAGGAAGACGAGCTCATTTCTTTTGGTGAGGAAGAGGAAGGCCACACGGAGAAGGTAGGATTCAAGCTGGGCCTTCAAAGTTGAGCATGGGTATTTTTTTTTAATAGATGAAAGGTGAGAGAATACATCGAAGGTAGGTAACGCTTGTTAGTTGAACCAGTAACTAGGTCAAAGAATAGAACAACAGCGAGAGGAAAGTGAGTCTCACAGGAAAGCCTGACAAGTCAAGAAATGTGGGAGGGAGCCTGGGGACAGTGTGGTCAATGACCTCTTCTGACACAAGTGCACGAAGCTAGGAGAAAGGGCCCTGGGGAGACTGAGGCACATCCCAATTGCCTGCCTTGAGAGGGACACCATGCTTCTGTGAATGAAGCCTGAGCCCACCTGCATTGTTCCTTTTCAGTGCTCTTATAACTCATCTTCAGGCCCTTTTTCTCAAAACCCACTTCTAAGCTAGATGTTATCTGTGCCAAAATTATGAAATTATTTGTGGGAATCTAAAATCAGAACTTCACATTTAAAAAAACTTGTATGTCTAATGAATTGTTTGTATTGGATTTTGTCTCCTTTGGGCCTTGAAATCATCTTGAATATGGATTCTGTTGCCTGGTAGATGAGCTGCCCCACCAGCTGTGGCTCAGGGGACTTTCCTCCAGGTTAACTGCAGTGGACTCCTCAGCATCCATAAGTTCACTGTTGTTTAATCAACTATCAATGTCTCCTTACACTTTAATTCCTCCCTCCTTTGTCAAGTCAGACACTTTGAGGAAATCACAGTGCCTGTGTTCTTCTGATCTACAGGTCTCATGAGCCCATCAAAAACTCAGTGAACTTGTTTGGTTGGATGCATCCTTTATTGCTTTTAAAATACAACAAAGCTGTCGATAAATTATTCCATCATCGCTTTTCAAGGTATCCATATTAAATGTAGCAGTCTAGAACTCTAAATTCATTGCCTTGCCCTTTCTTATATAAAATATGGACATTTGTGTGTCTCCAGTGTTCAGGCATCCTTCTTTCTTTAGTAGGATTCCTCAGACATTACTAAAAGTGGTGATGATATGAAATGTATCAATAAAAGGTACCAGGTAAAGGATTTTCAGGTGTCCAAGCACACGAATGAGGTTGTGGGCACCTTGCAATGCGTCTGAGGCTTTGGCTCTCCATGCCCACATTCCTGGGAGTGGCGCTCAGTGGCAACAGTAAGATCCAAGCCGCCTCCCGGTCGGTTCCCAGGATGTCCCTCTGCCTGCTCCTGGGGAGATCACGGGAAAGGAAGGGCGATTGAAGGCATCACACCCTGGTAGGAATTTTCCAATATAAATCCAGTAACTGTTTCCATGATGACCTAAAAAAAGAAGAGTCTGGAATCAATTTGTAACTTTTTCTATGCCTTCCCCACTCTGACTCATTTTTTTGATTGGTCGTTTTTCATTATTTATTGATGGAGGGTTTGCCTTTGTAGGGCAGCGTGGCATTAGGCCAGTGTAGCCTGAGGCGAATGTGTACCTGGAGAGAGGTCAGTTCCTGCATTTCAGGTGCACAGATTATGAAATCAGGTCCCTCCTGCGCTAACAAGGATCTCATCCTGTAAGCAGTAGGCTGTATTTACTGTATGTACAGCTTTACCTGCAGGGCGATTGTGTTTTGTAATTAGTACCACTCCAAGTTTTAGCTAAATTTTTGAGGAACTGGCGGCCTCACAGGGTTATCTCATTACTAGTAGAAGCCCAAGGAATGTATACAAGCACACCTACATGGCAACCCCACTCTACCCAAATAATGACATCATTTCTGTTTTTTTCTCTCTCTGATTAAATGCCTCTTCTCTTTTGTCCAACTCTTCTGCACACACTTTAAGGGGCTTTCCCTGGTGTGTGTCCTCTTTTGTTCAGCCACCCGGAAATTGAAGTGCTTCAGGCCCTTTCATTCTTACGTAAAACCTTGGCTGCTTTTTCTCCCTAATATTTGGAAAAGTCAAGGTATCCTGTGAGCTGCCAAGTGCACTGGGGTGGGAACTGGAAAGGATCCAAGGCCCTATTATTTCTTCCCACTCCTTCCTAGCTCATGGTGAACTTCTTGCACCAAACTCCTAATGTTTGTAGCAGTTCTCTGGGACGTTTGCCCTTTGCACCCTATCCCAATTACACGCAGAGTCTGATTCCAGAATTAATCACCAATATGGATTCAGATTAGCAAACAACTACCACAGACCGACCAGCAGGGCAGCCTTTGGAAATAGCACTTCCCCGGTTGGCCACTGGACATAGACAGAGCTGTGCAGACCTTGGTCTCACACTGATTGGCTGTTAGGTGAAGGACTGAGACCTACCTTCCTGTTTTGATTTACTGGGAACAGGTCAAAGGGCCCCTGAAAAGTATACAACACTTCCCGTTTAAAATAGATCTTGGAAGACACTGAAAGAAGAAGGAAGAATGTGGGAATGCAAATGGGACAGGGTTCTTTGATCCTAAACCCAGTCAGGATCTTAATTAGCTGTACGTGGAAGACCACAAAGGACACCCTCCCCTAGCGAAGGCCTCTCCAAGTGAGATGCAAGTTCCGGGAAATGATTGAGTTGTCCCATGTCCAGATGAATCCACCATGAGGTTCAGGGAGATTCTGAATGAGGAGCCTTCTTTGTCTCTGTGTATTCTGAGTGAGTGAAATCACTGGTAATTCAGAGAGTGTCTGTAACAGAGAGGATTTTTAGCTGTGAATCATATACCATGTACTATATATACACATAATAGAATGGGAGAGACTGGCCTCCCCGCCTTCCCTTCTCACTCTCCCCGTTTCCCACCCAAGAGGTCCAGATAGGGTCACTGATGAGGATGGTGTGGATGAGGGGGACACTCAGGAAAGAATCCAGGGAACGTCCAGCCTTGGTGGTTGAGCCAAGATGAAGGACTAGCCAAGAAGGATTGAGCAGCAGCTGCAAAGGGAGGGAAACACGGAGAAAAGGAGTACAACCCAAGCCAGGCCATGAAAGTGTCTCCAATGGTGATTGCTGTCTAAACTATTGAGAAATTGTGTGAGACAAAGATAGAAAATTAACCGCTGTGTTTGACCAGAGGCAGGTCCATGCTGAATTCAACAAGAGTAATTTCTGTAATGCATTGGAAAGCTCCATTTGACAGACGTTACACACAAGGTTCAGTTATTCAGGAAATAGGCATGTTCGGTTTTTGCAATGGTGAGAAATTTTCCCACAAAGTTTTGCAGACTTCTATTATTTTCTAGCACTGCCTGCTGTAAAAACCTGAGCCTAAAAGGAATTTTCCCCTTTGTAGGTGTCTTCCTTTTTATGCTGCGATATTGGAAGAAAATGTCCATGATCCTCACGGTTCAAGTGAAGTGCAACAATCTAACCAGGATGTGCCTCAGTGACTGGCCTCTATTTCCTTTTCGCGATAAAGGTATGCTGTTTTCATTTGCAGATACAATACTTCAGTCATTTCAGAGTAATTTTTGTATTGTATCACATCTCTGTTTTAAAAAAATAGAACTCAAAAATTCTTAGGAGAGCTGGTCCTAGCCTTTTGTATCTATTAAAAGTTACTGGAGGTGTGACCAGGCACAGTGGTTCACGCCTGTAATCCCAGGACTTTGGGAGGCTGAGGCGGGCGGATCACGAGGTCAGGAAATCGAGACCATCCTGGCTAACACGGTGAAACCCCGTCTCTACTAAAAATACAAAAAATTAGCCGGGCGAGGTGGCGGGCGCCTGTAGTCCCAGCTACTTGGGAGGCTGAGGCAGGAGAATGGCGGGAACCCGGGAGGCGGAGCTTGCAGTGAGCTGAGATCCGGCCACTGCCCTCCAGCCTGGGCAACAGAGCATGACCCCGTCTCATTAAAAAAAAGAAAACTAACTGGAGGTGTATAGAGTGGGAAATTACCATAGGCTGAAATTGGTTTCTTAGCTATGACACCAAAAACACAAGCTGCTAAAGAAAAAACAGATACATTGGACTTGATCCAAACTGTAAAACTTTGTGTTTCAAAGTACACTGTCAAGAAAGTAAAAGACAGCCCCATAGAATGACAGGAATATTTGTAAATTGTATGTCTGATAAGGGTCTAATTCAGGATATATCCCTCTTGCAATTCAACAATAAAAACATGACCCAATTTAAAAATGGGCAAAGAATTTGAATAGAAATTTCTTCTGAGAAGGTATACCAATGGCCAGAAGGTACATAAAAAGATGCTTTACCTCATTAGCCATCTGGGAAATGCAATCGTAACTACAGTAAGGTAGAATTTCACACCCGCTAGGATGGTTGTTATAAAAAAGATGGACAAAAACAAGTGCCAGTGAGGATGTGGAGAAATCGGAGCCCTCACAGACTGCTGAGGGGAATGTGAAATGGTGCAGCCACTTTGGCAAACAGTCTGGCAGGTCTTCAAAGTTAAACACAGAATTACGATATGACCTGGCAAATTCTACTCCTAGGTACATACCCAGGAACATCGAAACATATGTCCCTGCAAAAACATGTACAGGAATGACCACAGCAGCAATACTCACAATAGTCAAAAAGTGGAGACAATCCAAATGTCCATGCGCTGACGAAAAGATAAACAACGTGTGGTATACCCATACCCAGATGACGGAGTGCCATCAGCTGTAAGGAGGAGTGACGTTCTGGTAGGCTGTGTGAAAGAAGCCAGACGCAAAGGCCACATGGGTCACTCCACGCATATGAAGTGTCTGCGACAGGCAGAGCCATGGACACAGTACATGGATTCCTGGTTGCCTAGGGCTGGGGGCGGGGGCGACTAGGGGCAGGTGGGGAGTCACTGCTATGGGGAGAGGGCATTTCTCAGAGGTGAGAAAGGTCTCTGAAAATTGCTTGTGATGGTTGCACAACTTTGAGAATATACTAAAATTCATTGAATTATATGCACTAAATGGGTGAACTTTCTCAATGAATTATATACACTAAACGGGTGAACTTTCTCCAAGAATTGTATACACTAAACGGGTGAACTTTCTCAATGAATTGTATACACTAAACAGGTGAACTTTCTCATTGAATTATATACACTAAACGGGTGAACTTTCTCATTGAATTATATACACTAAACGGGTGAACTTTCTCGGAACTATATACACCTAAACGGGTGAACTTTCTCATTGAATTATATACACTAAACGGGTGAACTTTCTTCATTGAATGAGCATACACCAAACGGGCAGAACTTTTCTCATGAATTGTATGAGACAAACGGGAACTTTCTCCAGAATTGTATACACTAAATGGGTGAATCTTCATTGAATTATATACACTAAACGGGTGAACTTTCTCAATGAATTGTATACATCAAAGTGAACTTTCTCATTGAATTATATACACTAAACGGGTGAACTTTCTCCAAGAATTGTATACACTAAATGGGTGAACTTTCTCATTGAATTGTATACACTAAATGGGTAAACTTTCTCATTGAATTGTATACACTAAACGGGTGAACTTTCTCCATGAATTGTATACACTAAATGGGTGAACTTTCTCATTGAATTATATATACACTAAATGGGTAAACTTTCTCATTGAGATTGTATACAGAACGGGTGAACTGCACCATCTCTGTGGATTGTATACACGCATTGAGTGAACTTTCTCTGTTTCATTAGTTATATACACTATTAGTTGAACTTTCTGTCAATGATTTAGCATACACTAAATGGGTGAACTTTCTCATTGAATTATATACACTAAGCGGGTGAAGACTTTCTGTGAATTGTACTGCTACTAAATGGGTGAGCTTTCTCTGTTAGATTATATACACTAAGCGGGTGAAGACTTTCTCAATGAATTGTACTTTTACTAAATGGGATTTGAACTTTCTCATTGATTATATACACTAAGCGGAGGAATTTGAACTTTACGTAACATGGATTGTATCTCAATAAAGCTGTTGAAAACTTTAAAGAAGACTTCTGGTCTGTTTGTTTCCTCTTCATTCCATGCCATTAACTACAAAAGCGTTTCGAAGAATTCCTCAAGGTTGTTTCATTTCTCTCTACTTTCTTGTCCTTGCCCCTAGCTACCCTTGTCTGTCTGTCTCTATCTGTTGTGTGTCTGTCTGTTGGGTGAACTTTCTCATTGAATTATATACACTAAACGGGTGAACTTTATGGCACATGGATTGTATCTCAATAAAGCTGTTGAAAACTTTAAAGAAGACTTCTGGTCTGTTTGTTTCCAGTCAGTTCCATGTGCCATTAACTACCTCCAAAGGCTATTTCAAGAAAATTCCTCAAGTTGTTTCATTTCTCTACTTTCTTGTCCCATTGCCCCTAGCTTCCCTTGTCTGTCTGTCTGTCTGTTGTCTGTCTGTTGTCTGTCTGTCTGTCTGTTGTCTGTCTGTCTGTCTGTCTGTTGTCTGTCTCTCCTTGCTCTGGCTCTGGCTCTCACTCTCTGTTTCATCGCTGGCAATAACTGTGAAAGCCACATACCTCCCGTCTGTTCTTTGCCCTCAGTGATTTCACCAGAGTGAAAGGTTTTGTGCTTTTGCTCACAAAGCCTCTTTTAGTCCCATCTGTTAAGCCTTGGATTCTAGAAACAGTTCATGTTTCTAGTACTTCAAGACGTGGAATTTTTGGACTTTCTCTGTTCATTTTTATATCTGCTTGTTTCACACTGAATGACTCTTTCCTGAGACCATTTCTTCCTTGAAATACCTTGACCAGTGCAGCCAACACATCCAAGTAACATCCAGTGGCACCCAGTTCTCCTGTGTCCTGCCCCAGAGCCATGAGGACAGGCGGCGCTTGGCCTGCCTCCGTGTAGTGGAGCAGTAGCTTTCCCAGACCTTTTGCTGTGGAGTATGGTAGACGCTTGCCTTTCCTGCCTCCTCTAACAGATTCCTTGCCATGGGCTACTCAGAGCCACATCTTTTAGATCTAGGTTAGGGCAGCTCCCCTCTTTTACGTCTCATTTCTGCATTAGGGCACTTACTGCCACTGGTACACAAACCCCCTGAAATCTCAGCAGCTTAACACAACAAAGCTTTCTCCCTCACTCCAAATCCTACCTGGGCTGCCCAGGGTTCACATTCCGGCAGTGACTCAGGGATTCTGACTACTTTCGTGTCATCAAAGCTGTGGCCTCCCAGGTCACTCTGGTGGGGCAAGTGAGGAGTGCAGATGGAACTTATCTTAATTGCCTCAGCCTGCAAGGGTCACACACCACTTATGTCACCATTGGCCAGAACATGTCTTGTGACTCCAGTGAGCGCTTGTTGTCTGCCACAGGTGAGCTGGAGCACACGGGGCCGAGAGCTTTCAGCAGATCACAAGGTACCTGTGGGAAGGAGAAGATGGAAATAGAGGTTTCTTGTTTGATCATAAGGATAGAGGAAGGTGGACAGATCTGAGGAAGGAGAATGAAGGTGTCTCCCTGTACCCTGCAGCCTTGTGTGAGAAGTGAGTGCCGAAATGATTAGCATAGTAGAGGCACGGCTGGTCCTGAGTGGACACTGGTCGGGTCAACTCCACGTCTCCCTTTGCCTCTTTTCACAATATGCAGTATTTGGGCAGTTTTAAGTACAAGTTCCAAACGAGGAGTTGTAAAGAAGCAAGTTAGCTAGAGGGAATGAGAAGAAACGTGTTTCTAATCTTTCCCCATTGGAAGGACGTTATTCTGAGGGTGTCAGAAGTTTGAGATGCGGATGGGATGAACATGAGATCCTTCGTGCTGTTTTGACCGAACAGTGGAAAGGATGGGGAGCAGAAAGGGTGTTTGCAGAGGAGACACGGCAGGCAGGTTGCTGCAGGGAAAGTGATAAAATGCTTTTTTGTTTTCAGTCTTTTTTAAAGCCACGTTTCCTGACGACTTCCTTATGTCATTAGCTATGCACTGCTTTTCAGCATGGTCTTCCATCACGTCCATCCTATGACTGCACTACACTAATTTAGTCAAACTCCAGTGGTCACACACTGTCATTGGTACCAGCTACTTTTGTTTTTAAAGTGAGTTTTATTTGTCTTTAGAACATTTTTATTTGGGGGAAAGAAAAGCAAAAATTGCATAACCAATTCCTTTACCCTACAACTAGGCTTCACATTTCTTATCATTCTGTCCTATTTACTTCATAATTATACATTATGGCATTTTTGAAAGAAAAGGTCATAGTACAGATGGTTTTCAACTTAATTCTTCAACTTTATGGTGGTGCAAAAGTGATACGCATCCACTGGAAACCAGTACCCCACGTTCTGAATTTTGAACTTTTCCTGGGGAAGCCATGTGCAGTGTGAGGTGCCCCCTGTGTGTGGGCAGGGCCGCCAGGCAGCTGCAGTGTCAGAAGGGCAGACCACCCACACTCGACGCTGTGCCCTGTTGCCAGCGTTTGCTGGATATTTTGTGTTTTCACATTCCATCATGTCTGCAAAATGATATTTTAAACTTACAATGGGTCGATTGGGACATAACCCATTGTAATTTCTATGCTAGGTAACCCCAATAGCAACATCAATCTACCAATTCACCATCAGTCACTCAACATGGCAGGTCCTCAAATGGTGCCACTTTGTTCAATGTCATTTCTTTCTTTTCTTTTCTTTTTTTTTTTTTGAGACGAAGTCTCACTCTGTCGCCAAGGCTGGAGTGCGGTGGCTCACTGCAACCTCTGCCCCCCGAGTTCAAGCAATTCTCCTGCCTCGGCCTCCCGAGTAGCTGGGACTACAGGCACGCATCACCATGCCCAGTTAATTTTTTGTATTTTTAGTAGAGATGGGTTTCATCATGTTGGCCAGGCTGGTCTCGAACTCCTGACCTCAGGTGATCCACCTGCCTTGGCTTCCTAAAGTGCTGGGATTATAGGCGCGAGCCATTGCACCCGCCTGTTCAGTATCATTTCATCACGGTGCTGGCGAAGAGAAAGCCGATTCCCGTCAAGGGCCACCATTTGTGTGGGGCTTGTACCTTCTCCCCATGTCTCCGTGGGTTTCTCTGGGTGCTCCGGTTTTCTCCCCCACCTCAGAGATGTGCCTGTTCATGAACGGGTGTGTCTACAGGGCGTCATGGGAGTGAGCATGGGTGTGAGAATGAGTGGCCCTGCCATGGTCTGAGGGCTGCTTCCCGCCTTGTGCCCGGAGCTGCTGCCAGGATGGGCTCTGATCACCTGTGACCCTGAACTGGAATAAGTGGGTTGGAAAATGAATGCATAAAAACAAATTATTGTAAAATAACAATTGGTAAAGTCTACTGTCACCCTACAAATGCATGGCAATGACCCGAGTGGTTGGAGAGGGCTCAGGGAGCCCATTCTGTTTGTTTTTTTTAACTTTGTGGGAGTAGGAGGTGCTCTTTATAATTTTTGCTTTGATTTCGCCCCCACCCTGCCACCACAATGACTGCTGTCACTCACTGATTCACCAGAAATTGGATAAACAATAATCTCACTTGTTTTAATCAATCTTTCTTAAATGTATGTACAGTTCACATTTACTTCAGTGTTTAATATTAGAAATGTTTTGGGTCTATATTTAGAAGACTGGTGATGTTTTTGTGACTAGAAATACGTTGTCAGGAACTTAACTCTTGTTTATATCAATTGGCCTATGGTAAAGTTGGTTTCTGTATTTGTTTCACTTAAAGTCACAGTTTCCAAGCACCTCTTGCTGACGTTAAGTGAGAACTTACCATACAGAGCCAGTTCCCACACTGTGTTCAAGATTCTGGGGATACAAAAAAATAGAGCCAGGCCCTGTTCTCGGGAGGCACCGACCGTCTCTGCAGAGGCCTCTGGACCGACTCACAGGGCACTGACCGTCTATGCAGAGGCCTCTGGACCGACTCACAGGGGCACTGACCGTCTATGCAGAGGCCTCTGACCGATTCACAGGGTGCAGAGGCTCTGACCGATCTCAGGGGCACTGACCGGCCTATGCAGAGGCCTCTGGACCAATTCACAGGGCACTGACCGTCTATGCAGAGGCCTCTGGACTGACTCACAGGGCACCGACCGTCTCTGCAGAGGCCTCTGACCGACTCACAGGGCACCGACTGCTCCTGCAGAGGCCTCTGACTCATCTCACAGGGCACCCCGACCGTCGCCATGCAGAGGCCTCTGACCGATCCACAGG